CATTATTGAGTCCTGAAGGTTGCAGGGTGACCAAGCAGAAATGAGATGCTGTTCTTCTAGCTTCGCTGGAGCACTGCAGCAAGCCTGAGACAGAGATGTTTTGTTTCTGATTTCCAGCATCCTCAGTTCTTTGGTATTTTTCTCCAATAATAAGGTTGGAAAAAAGGGAGGTGCTTAAAAGGTTAAATGGAACATAATGTAGTATTCAAGAAAAACTATAAAGTGACTTGCAAAAGCTCTAACAAACCTATTAATCGATTTGTGTGACTAGGCCAGGAAAAGTTCTTTGACTATACGTGATGTTAAGACAGGGATGCATTATCCATAAGTCTTTACAAATTCACTCCAATGTAGTTAGCTGAAGTCAGGGACGAAACTAAGTTAAATTGATAATAATTACATTACTGAAGTGAATCATTGTATCTGGAGATCACCCATTTTGATGGTGGTAAAACCAAACAGGGCACAAGATAATGTATTAATTATCGTAAAGTCAATACAGTAATAAAAGCAGATTCCTATCCAATTCCATGTCTGGAGGACAGCATTGAAAGAATTATACAAGCGCGATACTATCTTGTTAAAAGGATATTAGCAAGTTTCATTGACTGATAAAGCTAAAAACAAAAGTTTCTGAGCACCAGGAGGGCTTCATCAATATAAAGACTTGCAGTTTAGAATGAAAAGTGCACCAGCAACTTTCCAAAGATTAAGTGTCATGTAACTGTGTCAAGTACATCAATGATTTGGTTGGCTCCAGCCAAACATGGAAAGAACATTTAAACCACTTGATTGAATTGTTTGATCATTTATAAAGGGTTAATTGTTGTAAATCGGGTGAAAGGTGAATTTGCACAGTGGTTAGTACTGTTTCCTCACAGCATCAGGGACCCGGGTTCAATTCCACCCTCGGGCGACTGTCTGTGTGGAGTTTTCACATTCTCCCCATGTCTGCATAGGTTTCTTCCGAGTGCTCTAGTTTCCTCCCACAGTCTAAAGATGTGCAGGCTAGGTGGATTGGCCATAGTGTTCAGGGATATGTATATTAGGGGATGGGTCTGGATGGAATGCTCAGAGGATCGGTGTGGACTTGTTGGGCCGAAAGGCCTGTTTCCACACTGTAGGGATTCTATGATTCTATGAAATTAGGGTAGCATGGTGGGTGGCTCTGTGGTTAGTACCAGGGACCTGGGTTCAATTCTACCCTCAGGCGACTGTGTGGAGTTTGCACATTCTCCCCATGTCTGCGTGGTTTTCCTCCGGGGGTGCTCCAGTTTCCTTCCACAGTCCAAAGATATGCAGGCTAGGAGGATTGGCCACACTAAATTGCCCATAGTGTTCAGGGATGAGTAGATTAGGTGGGGTATAGGGCGATGGGTCTGGGTGGGATCTCTGAGAGTTGGTGTGGACTTGTTGAGCCGAAGGGCCTGTTTCCACAATGTAGGGATTCTATGATCCTAAATAGTTTATTTGGGCCACACTGTGGGACAAGGTCAAGTGGCACCTATGAAAGCAAAAATAAGGGCTCTTTGATTTTCCCATGCCTAAGACAAAATACAAAATTCTGCAATATATTGGCACACACAAAAGGTAAAGTCACATGGGGTTAGAGGTGAGCTTGCAAGATGGATAAAAATCTGGCTCAGTCATAGAAGACAGAGGGTAGTAATGGAAGGTCGTGTTTCTGAATGGAGGGCTGTGAGTAGTGGTGTTCCTCAGGGATCAGTGTTGGGACCTTTGCTATTTGTAATACATATGATTTGGAGGAAAATGTAACTAGTCTGATTAGTAAGTTTGCTGATGATTCAAAGGTTGGTGGAATTGCGGATAGTGATGAGGACTGTCAAAGGATACAGCTGGATATAGACCAGTTGGTGACTTGGGCAGACAGATGGCAGATGGAGTTTAATCCAGAAAAATGTCAGGTGATGCATTTTGGTAGGTCTAATCCAGATGGAAAATATACAGTAAATGGCAGAACCCTTAAGAGTACTGATAGATAGAGGTATCTGGGTGTACAGGTACACAGGTCACTGAAAGTGGCAACGCAGGTGGAGAAGGTGGTCAACAAGGCATACGGCATGCTTGCCTTCATCGGCTGGGGCCGATGTTTAAAAATTGGCAGGTAATGTTGCAGCTTTACAGAGCCTTAGTTAGGCCGCATTTGGAATATTGTGTTCAATTCCGGTCGCCACACTACCAGAAGGATGCGGTGGCTTTGGAGGGGGTACAGAAAATATTTACCAGGATGTTGCCTGGTCTGGAGGACATTAGCTATGAGGAGAGGTTGGAGAAACTTGGGGTTATTCTCATTGAAATGACAGAGATTGAGGGGCGACATGATAGAGGTCTACAAGATTATGAAGGGCATGGACAGAATGGACTGTCAGAAGCTTTTTCCAGGGTGGAAGAGTCAGTTACTTGGGGCCATAGGTTTAAGGTACGAGGGGCAAGGTTTAAAGGTGATATATAAGGCAAGTTTTTTTTACACAGAGGGTGGTGGGTGCCTGAAACTCACTGCCGGGGGAGGTAGTGGAAGCAGATATGAGTGACTATTAAAGGGCATCTTGACAAATACATGAATAGAATAGGAATAGAGGGATACGGTCCCTGGATGGGTACAGGGTTTTAGTTGTGGCAGCATGTCGGTGCAGGCTTGGAGGGGCCTGTTCCTGTGCTGTAATTTTCTTTGTTCATATGTGAATTTTGTCAGAAATTTGTGCTAAATTTCAGCACTGTGCTAGCTTCTTTGACAATTTGAAAGCTGTGCTAATAAACATACCTGTTAACTGCACAGAATTATAAGAAGCCACTCAAGCTGGCTGTTGATGTCAATGACTTCAGTGTAAGTGCTACTTTCCTACAAGGAGACAAGATGGGGATTGAACAGCCAGTTATTTTTCACAAAAAGGGCAAGGATTAGTTTCAAGGTGGTGGCAGCGGAGTAGCAGCATTCATGCCTGGGTCCTGAGCCCAGGGGTCATCTACTTTCGTCTGCTTTTTCTCTTCCTTTTTTCTCGCTTTCTTTCACTTTTGTTCTTTGTTTCTTTTTGGTTCCTTCAACAGTGGCATCAGCAGGGGCAACCCACTTCCCGGGACAGAGTGGCAGCAGCAGGAGTGGTTCCCTTCCTGGAGTGTCTGCAACGGTCCCCTTCCCGAAAAGTCAGGAACAGTTCCTTTATGGAGTGTCAGGAGTAGTTCTTTCCTGAGGAGTCAGCAACAGCAGGTTCCTTGGCTAAAATGGCGGTCCCAGTAGGTGGCAGCAATGTAATCCAGAACAAGGCACTGGCTGCTTCGGCATGGTGAGTCCAGCGTCGAGTTTGAGCCCAATTTGGGACTTGGCAGCTTCGGTGGCAGCTGCATTGCCAAGATTGGCCCAGCTCTGACTCATGGCAATGATGACAGTGGAGGCAAGATGGCACCGAAGGATGGCCACATGGTTACAGCGAAGCAGCTCCAAGATGTGTCTGAGCCTGGGTACCTAACAGCAGAGGCTTTCTGACTACAGCGGCATAAAGGGACCCACAGTACCTGAGTGTTCGCAGACTGAGACATAGACTTTGTGGCTTTGATTTTCTGGCGATGAGGACTCATCGCAGAGGCAGGGAGTGATCTGGACATTTCCTTTTTGTTTGGTTGTTTCTTTTATTTCTGCTTCTCTTTATAAGCCTGTCTTTTATATACTAAGAGGGCATCAGAGAATGGTGACTCTGTATACTTTTCACTGTAGAGTACATGATAATAATATGTGAATCTAAAAACCTTTTTAAAATCTACAAAAGTCCAAAATATACAACAGTGGAGAGACACTGAGTCTTGTCTCTACCAAAGTGTGAAAATTGCATATCTAATAGCTCTGAAAAGACTGTTATTTAAGGCATACAATGGCTAGCAAGGACAATATTTTAGCAGATGTTTTGTCAGGGACAAATATGACCATATGAATGCTGTGATCAAGCTTGTTTTACTTGGGATACGGCTGTAATGGAAACATAAATATGTTTTACTGTTGATGTACTATATGAATAGTGTTTAGGCTATTTTATTTTTTTCCTCTGGATGGGGAAAGATGTAAGGAAAGGTGCATCTTGTATATTTTTGGATCTTGATTTCAAAATAGAGGCACATGGATCTGTGTCAGCTCCGATAAGGTTTTTGTCAACTCCGATAAGTTGGTTAGAAAGTCAATTTGGAATTGTGACCTAAATACATCAGTTCCAAGAAAGCAGTGTTGTGGATCAGTGTTGTGTTGACGGATTACTGTTAAGTACATGACAAAGTAAACACATAAAGGCAATTAATTTCCTTTTAATTTCTGAATATCAGGTTTAAATACTTAGTTCAGAAAAACCCAGAGCTTAGTTCACAATGGAAAATTGCTTCTTCCAGCAGGAGAATTTTAGTTTGTGGGTCTTACAAACCAGGACAGTTTTGATGGGAATCTCAAATTGCTAGAATGAAATGGTCAACCATAAGAATTATGGGAGGTTGATGCCAGCAGACTTGGAAAGGAATCGTAAAATTGCCCCCACAGTTCAAGAAAAAGAACCTGGGAAACTTAGTTAAATACAATTTTAAAAGCTTCGATAGTGGTGATATTTCTTTGGAATTAAGTCTCTTTCAACCAACACCCTCTTTTACACTTTGTCTCTTCTGTCTATATGTTTTGTTTATTACTTTTGTGATTTTTTTTTCCATTTTAGAGAATATCTGCAGCCTCATGCGAATATATTTCCATGACTAAACACCATGTTAACAAACTGCTAAAAAAAAATCTGTCATTCTGGGTCCTGAGTTGTCCAGTATTACCAGAGCTGGGATCATAACTTCAATTACATAAGGTTCTATCACACCCGCACAGCTGTAGAAACTGTTCCAGACTGCAGTGAGCTAAGGTTGTCTTTATTTTTTTGTTTTTATTAAAACATTTCATACATGGGTTGAACACAATGAATGAAAATGCATGCAGAAAGAAATCAACAAGAATTTTTGTTAAGCAAAAAGCAGACTACTGCAGTTTCTAGAAATCTAAAATAAAAGAAATTGCTGGAAACACTCAGGTGGTCAGGAAATGTCAACACTATGGAAAAATGAAATTTCCGTTCTTTTTCTCATTGTTGCTTTTAGACAGTAGCACACTTGCTTGAGACACATCCTAAGTTTCTTCTGTTGACCAGTCTCAATTCCCTTTTGAACTAGAGAACAAATTCTTCTTTTATTAAATCTGTCCTGTCTTTCACCCAATATGAAACCTTCCTTTATCTTTGTCCTACTCAGTCCTTACTCAAATCCTAATACATGCCAACGTTTATCCCCTGGTCATGATGACCTACTTCATTAACTATTACCACAGATGGTATAGAAGTTGCGTATTTCCAGCACTTTCTGATTTTGTTCAAAACTTTTTCTTAGTTTAATAAAGAACACAGAAACATTTTTAAAAGTCAAAGCTTTGCATCCACTGAGAGCGATTCACACTCTTGAAACCAGAGTTAACTGTAATGTTTGCAGCAGTTATATTTTCACCAAAAGCAGGCTTACAAAGAGATCCTGTATGGTTTACCAAATCATTCTTCAAAATATATCTGGAAGATTTCACAAGCATCAGCTCCTTCCAGTCAGAGACATTTTCTCTTCCACAATTACTGGAGAATCCATCAGCAGCAATTGCAATAGAGAGAAACAAACAAAGGTTGTGATTGGGTGATGAGTGTGCACCACAATCTGAGTGATGTCAACTAGCCAGAGGCCTAGAGTGATGGAGGAGAGTGTAGATTGACTGGCTTCCAGGTAGATACTGGTTTGGGAGGGAAGGGTATGACTGATAGAGAAATCAGGGTCAGGGTGTGGGCTATGTTGATGAGGATTGGGAACAAGAGTTTGGCCAGTAGAGGGCAGGTGTGATCAAGAGGATATAGGCAAGTCAAAACATCCATGAAATTTCTGTAATGCAGCAGTCCAGTTTGAAGTCCATCCACTACAGATAGGCTGCAGTTTAATGTTGTCCAGTAGTACAGAATGACTATAAAGGCCTCTGACACTATGGATGTAGTATTCCCTCCACTTCCACTCTCTCTACGAAAAGGCTGCAGTCCCTCCTCCCAACTATTAAAAAGTGTAGAAGCAAAGTTTTACATCACTGCAGATAAACCAAATTGTGATGGCTAAGTATAGGATCTTTTTAAGTTATATACATGCTTCCCCAAAACAAGCTAACACACTCCTTATTCTGTTAAGGACAGGTCCCAGCTAAAGATGGTGTGGATTTGTTATGGTGGAGTCTCTTTCACTTGTATTCATTCTTCCCTGATCTATATTCTCCCTATTTGATAGTTGAGTAAATTTCATTAGAATAAGCGCACGTTTGAGTTTGTGAAGAACCCCATTGTTAATTAAAAGAAACACAATGGGCGACCTGGATCATAATCGGGTCATAAACTCGTTAAGAAACTACAATAAGTTAATGCTCTGTGAAATTTTATGCTGTAAAAAGGTAACTAAACAGTTGAGTAGCATGTACTCGCCAACATGCCATCAAATCTTCCTGTTCTCCTTCGTTCTGAAATACTGACGTAATCTAGAAACCAAGCAGCAGTCCATAAATCTGAGCAGACTGTCTTCAATTCTTTCCTACCTATATCACTCAGTCAACTTCTTCAATTGTGGGTCCACTGGCATTGCTAGGTTCAGAGGCACTACCAGCTCCTCCTGGCACCCCAGCACAGGGACATCGAAAGAATTTGGCTACTGGCTTGCAAACTTTCTCCAGCTCCTTCTGCTGGTGCTCAAATTCTTCCTTCTCTGCTGTCTGGTTTCTTTCTAGCCAAGTGAGAACCTCCTGACACTTCGCAAGGATACTGCTCCTTTCCTGGTCAGTGATTTTCCCTTTCAACTTCTCATCTTGTACAGCCTGCTTCATAGCATACACATAGGACTCTAGAGCATTTTTGACAGTCACTCTTTGACGGTTAGAATCATCTTCAGTCTTGTAGCGCTCTGCATCCTGCACCATGCGCTCTATTTCATCTTTGCTCAGCCGACCCTTGTCATTAGTAATAGTGATCTTGTTTTCTCGGCCTGTACTCTTGTCTACAGCTGAAACGTTCAGGATACCGTTAGCATCTATGTCAAAGGTCACCTCGATTTGTGGTACTCCACGGGGAGCTGGTGGGATATTAGAAAGGGCAAACTTGCCAAGTAGATTGTTATCTCTGGTCATTGCCCTCTCACCTTCATAAACCTGAACAAGGACACTGGTTTGATTCTCTGAATACGTAGTGAAGATCTGAGTCTGTTTGGTGGGGATGGTTGTGTTTCGTTTGATGAGAGGAGTCATGACACCACCAGCTGTTTCAATACCTAGAGATAGTGGAGTAACATCCAACAGCAACAGGTCCTGAACATTTTCAGACCTGTCACCCGTTAAAATGGCCGCTTGTACAGCTGCACCATAAGCTACAGCTTCGTCTGGATTGATGCTCTTGTTCAGCTCTTTTCCATTGAATAATTCTTGAAGCAGTTTCTGAATTTTAGGGATTCTCGTGGAGCCTCCTACAAGAACAATATCCTGAATCCGAAACTTGTCGATCTTGGCATCACGAAGGGCTTTCTCAACAGGCTCAAGTGTGGCTCGGAAGAGATCATTATTCAGTTCCTCAAACCGGGCCCTGGTGATGGATGTATAGAAATCAACCCCTTCATACAGTGAATCAATCTCAAGGCTAGCTTGCGTACTTGAGGATAGGGTCCTCTTGGCACGCTCACAAGCTGTACGCAGACGTCTTACTGCCCGCTTGCTCTGGGAGATATCTTTCTTAAATTTCCTTTTAAACTCTTCTATGAAATGGCTCACCATGCGATTGTCAAAATCTTCTCCTCCCAAATGAGTATCTCCAGCAGTGGACTTGACTTCAAATATACCATCCTCAATGGTAAGGACAGAAACATCAAATGTTCCACCTCCCAGATCAAAGATGAGGACATTATGTTCACCAGACCCTGCTTTGTCTAGTCCATATGCAATAGCAGCTGCAGTTGGTTCATTGATAATCCTCAGCACATTTAAAGCAGCAATGGTTCCGGCATCTTTGGTGGCTTGTCTTTGGCTATCATTAAAATAAGCGGGCACTGTGATGACAGCACTCCTCACAGGAGTACCTAGGTATGCCTCTGCAATCTCCTTCATTTTTGTTAGCACCATGGAGGAAATCTCCTCAGCAAAGAAAGTCTTCAGTTCTCCTTTGTACTCCACCTGAACTTTGGGTTTCCCTCCCTCATTAATGACTGTGAAAAGATGAACAAAGACATTTTCTAATAAATGGAATATCAAATGACACACTGTTTTTCCATTTCTTAAGAACAGCTGTAATCTGCCAAAATCAAATACTTTCCCCTCATGCTGGGACTTTTTTCACTGGAGTGTAGGAGGTTGAAGTGTGACCTTACTGAGATTTTTAAAATCATGAGGGACATAGATAAAGTGAGTGACAAGGGTCCTTTCCCTAGGGTGGGGGAGTTCAAAACTAGGGGCACATTTTTAAGGTGAGAGAAGAATTTAAAAAGGATATGAGGGGCAACATTTTGTCTTAAACAGAGTGGTTCATCTGTGGAATGAACAGTCAGAGAAAGTGGTGGGTTGCAGGTACAGTTACAACATTTAAAAGACATTTGGGCAAGTTCATGAATAGGAAAGGTTTGGAGGGATATGGACCAAGCACAGGTAGTTTAGTTTCAGACCATGGTTGGAGTAGACTGGTTGGACGGTAGGGTCTGTTTCCAGGCTGCATGAATCTATGACAAGAAAGACAAAGTCCAGACCTGCCCTTCCAATCTTAACCATCCATGTATATTTGATGCAAGAAGGCTAAAGTTGTTGTACCTGACTTTCCCTCCCTTCTGGTCTCCAGAGTCTAGATGCCTACAGGAGAGAAACGGCAATTTAGAACATAGAACAGTACAGCACAGGAACGGGCTCTTCCAACCACAATGTTGTGCTGAATATGATGTCAAATTAAACCATATCCCTCTGTCCCTTGCATATTCATTTGCATATCTAAAAGCCCCTTAAATGCCCCTATCGTATCTGCCTCCACCACCACCCCCGGCAGCACATTCTACACTCTTACCACTTTGTATTAAAAAACTTGTCATTACATCTCCTTTGAACTTTTCCCCTCACCGTAAATGCATGCCCCCTAGTATTAGACATTTCAACTCTGGGGGAGAAAAGGTTCTGACCATTAACCCTATTTAAGCAGGGGGAAGGCAATGGCCTAGTGGTATTATTGTTGTACTGTTAATCCAGAGACCCGGATAACGTCCTGGAGACCTGGGTTCAAATTCCGCCATGGCAGATGGTGGGATTTGAATAATAAATATCTGGAATTAAGAGCCTAATGATAACTGCGAATCCATTGTTGATTGTTGGAAAAACCTGTCTGGTTCACTAATGTCCTTTAGGGAAAGAAACTGCCATCTTTACCTGGTCTGGCCTACATGTGACTCCAGACTCATAGCAATGTGGTTGACTCTCAACTGCCCTCTGGCCAGTTAGGGTTGGGCAATAAATGCTGCCATCCAGTGACGCCCTCATCCCGTGAATGAATAAAAATAAAGCATCTCATAATTTTACAGACTTCCATCAAGTCTCCCTTCAGCCTCAGCCGCTCCACAGAAAACAATCCGAGTTTTTCTAGCTTTAACCCCAAGATCCCTCTGTACATCAAAGCTGTTCAGGGTCCTGCCATTAGCCATATGCTTTTCCTTAACATTTCATGTATTAAAATGTACTGATTTATTATCACAGGAACCAGAGTACAGTGAAAAGCTTTGTTTACAAGCAGTACAGGCAGTTCATTGTAACCAAGGATCTACAGATCAAAAAGACTTAGAGACATACATGTTACATTACACAGAGCATGCGCTAGGTAAGATCAATGTTAGCAAGATCAGCATTATTTGAAGCTAGACAGTACATTCATCAGTCTAATAACAGCTGGGAAGAAGCTTTCCCTGAACCTGCTGGGTGCGTGTATTCAGGCTTCTGTATCTTCTGCCTGACGGAAGAGGTTGTAGGAGATCATTACCGGGGTGTGATGGGTCTTTGATGATTTTGGCAGCCTTTCCGCAGCAACAAGCTGTGTAAGTGGAATCCATGAAGGGAGCTGGGCTTTTGTGATGGTCTGGGCTGTGCACACAACTTTGTGGCTTCTTACTGTCCTGGGTACAGCAGTTGCCATACCAGGCTGTTATGCACCTGGACAGTATGTTTTCAACGGTGCATCTGTAGAAGTTGCTTAAGGCCCCTATGGACATGTCAAATTTCCTGAGCTACCTGAGGAAGAAGCAGCGTTGTTGTGCCTTCTTGGGTGTCACGTCAATGTGAGAAGTCCAGGACAGGTTGTCAGCTTTCGTCACTCCAAGGAACTGGACACTCTCCATCCCCTCAAACTCAGTTCTGTTGATGTAGATGGGAGCGTGTTCTTCTCCTTTCTTTCTGAAAACAATGATCAGTCCTTTAGTTTTGCCGACGTGGAGAGAGGTTGTTCTCATTGCACCATGTCACTAAGCATTCTATCTTCCTTCTGTACTTTGACTCTTCGTTGTTAGGAATCCATCCTACTACGGTGGTATCGTCAGCAAACTTGTAGATGGTGTTCAGAATTTGGCAACACAGGCGTGGGTGTGCAAGGAGTACAGTAGGGGGCTGAGGACGCAGCCTTGGGAGGGCTCCAGTGTTGAGTGTTAATGTGGATGAGGTGCAGTTACCCATCTTCATTCATTGCAATCTGTGGGTCAGAAAGCTGAGGACCTAGTTGCAGAGGGCAGGTCTGAGTTTTGAGATTAGTCTGGAGGGGATAATGGTGTTGAAGGCGGAGCTGTAGTCAATGAGCAAGAGTCTGATAGATGTGTCCTTGTTATGCAGATGTTCCAGGGATATGGTGTCCGCTGTGGGCATGTTACATTGGTAAACAAATTGTAGGGGACCGAGGCAGGCTGAGACTGCAGTTGACGTGGGCCATGACCAACCTCTCAAAGCACTTCATGATTAGAGGTCAGAGCCACTGGAGGGTAGATATCAAGGCACGTTACATGTGCTTTCTTAAGTACCAGGATGATGGTGGTCTTCTTGAAGCAGTGGGGATTTCAGCTTGTAGTAGGGAGAGGTAATGATGTTGATTAATACCTCTGCTCGTGTATTTTTTAAAAATTCGTTCACAGGATGAGGGTGTCAGTGGCTAGGCAGCATTTATTGTCCATCCCTAATTGCCCAGAGGGCAGTTAAAGAGTCAACCACATTGCTATGGATCTGGAGTTACATGTAGGCCAGACCAGGGAAGGAAACTGCCATCCTTACCTAAAGGACATTAGTGAAGCAGATGGGTTTTTCCCAACAATTGACAATGGATTCATGGTCTTCATTACATTCTTAATTCCAGATATTTTATTGAAATCAAATTCCACTACTTGCCATGGAGGCGGGGAAGATGGTGGTGGTGGAGGATTTGAACCCAGGTCCCCAGAACATTATCTGGGGATCTGGATTAACAGTCCAGCGATAATAGCACTAGGCCATCGCCTCCCCAGACGATCCAAGTGCTCAACCAGGGACACAGTCCAAGCCCGTTGCTTGACTCCCAGGAAGACCAATCTGACCTCTGCAGCAGTTAGAGTGGGGACAGTTGTAATAATGTCACTGCTTCATTTTGCATCCCATAATGTTGTTTAGGCCTTACGCTAGGTGGTAGGAGTCTGTTTGGTAGGTTTGGGCCTCCAAATTAGACTAATTTGATCTCCCCAAGTACAGCAATTCACATTAATTGGGATTAAATTCTGTCTGCAATTTCTCTGCTGGCTGCCAACATCAAAAGACCCTCCCTTCCCAGTAATATTCTCTTCAAACCTCTTCCATCAGACAGAAGATACAGAAGCTTGAACACACACCAACAGGTTCAAGAACAGCTTCTTCCCTGCCGCTTTGAAGGAACTACACACCTGAATCCCCAGATCTGTTTGACAACTGAAGTAACTGCATGGAGGCTGGTATCCAGTCACCCTTTCTTTACTTATGCACAGTACGCTGGCTGTGGCCAGCCAGCTTGGAATCAGTCCCTCAAGTGAAAAGATTCTGGATATTCTGTTTAGATCTATCAGCCAGGGCTCCCTGATTGTGGTAGCTAACCTGACCCAACCAAGGATCTCAGTCAATGAGATCCACCTGGTTCCAATCACCAGATCACTCCCCCACTAAGCCTGGGGGATGTAAACTCATCTCTTGTAACCTTTCTTGCTATGTTTGTCCTAGGTCTGGTTTCTGACTTGGACACAGGCAGCATGTACTGGACCACAGCAGGGCTCTTGGATCCAGCGTGCCTTGGAGCATTTCCTCCTCTTCCAGTGGTAACGGTACCGAGGCTACGTCCATCTCAGACTTTGATGTTTCCTTGACACTAGACAAAGGGGAGATCCATTGTTTCTGACAGGTGTTCAGCTATTCTGAAGGACCAAGTATGTTTTGCTCCTGCTGTTTGTGAGGTAGCTGCTTTCAGGTGATTCACATGTTTGGTTCAGGACTGCCTCACCTACTTGAATTTTGTAGGTCACAGGACCTGACCTCACATCAACCTCACTTTGTACCCATACAGGCCATTTCCATGGTTCTGGCATTAAACTTCATCACTTAACGTCATTGTCTCTCTCACTTAGAGACTGCATGTGGCTGGTAGTGTTCCTGTTGCCATCTCACCCTCCCACACTTCCCACCACCCCAAACCCAGTCCAGGAATAATCAGGATTAACCTCAGTCTTCTCCACATCAGCTCTGCAGGAGCTAGTCCTGCAGTTGCATGAGGGGTGGTCTTATAATCTGACAGGAACCTGGACAATCCGGTATTTAGTGATGCTGTAGGCTATTTAAGACTGCCTCCAACATTTGGACCACTTCTGCTACCAGGCCAATGGATGGATGGTATGGAGCCATCCTTATGTGCCAAATGCCATTCAATTTGAGGAAACTCAAATTCCCTGCTAGTAAACAACATCCCATTGTCTGTGACCAAAACTTCTGGGAGTCCATTATCACAAAATGGACTTGCAGCTTTTCAAGTGTCATCCTTGAGTTCGCCGAACAAACTGAGTTCAGCCACTTTGAAGGGGCATCCACAGCGACCAGGAACATTGAAACGATAGAAGGACTGGCATGGTTGATGTAACCAAGTCCAGGGTTTACCCAGCCATTACCAGTGGTGGGGGTGCTGTAAGGGGCAATTTGTCCTCTTTGGTGG